CCGGGCATTTTCTCATTTTACTGTCCTATCTAACATGAGTCTCCCAAATAATATTTATTAACTACTTTGTCTCTAATGTTCAAATTTCCTTGTCAGCACTGCTCTCAAAAACCCTCAAAAATACCTTTGGGGATCTTGCAAGTTCTCTTCCAGGAGTTAATTTAATTTCCTGACGTGCTCCTAAGCCATGGATCGGTTGCCGGACAAAGGCCATGAAAGAACTTGTAACGTGGAGAATTACCGACATACGACCTAACTAGAAATAAGCGAGTTGTCCTCGTCGCTGACAAACTGCTTCTGTGTGGAGCAAATGATAAAGGACACGCGTTATCAACGCTTAATTACAGACAGTGATCTAGAGAGTGCTGTCGTCCGTCGAGAAATAGGCCAACACAAGCAAAAACACGAAACAGACTTGCGTGATTTGTTCTACTGCTCCATTCTGAAAAGCCGGTTATTAGTGCACGGGATCAACAAAAATATTACGTAACCACAGGGTCCGTAAAACGAAACTACGTTCTTGGCCTTCGCTTTAAGATCTAGAAAGCTCCTGATACTTGTTATTGAACATCTTATTTTCGTTTCTATCGCCGGCAACCAACTGCTGTTATTTATTGGAAAGTCAAAATATAATAAACCGGATTCTATTCTCTGGTTCGTGGAAATATGACGGCTGACACAACCTACAGGTTGGTCGAAAAGTCACGCAACCCTTATTAAAATATTCATTGAATGTTGAAGTTCAATACACTTCGACTGAATTAATAAATACACAATATCTCTGTGACTATACAACAGCCCACTCAGATCACGTCATGGTGCAACCTTCTTGCGCCATTCCGTCAGTCGTCTTTCAACAGTCAAAGTGCAAGGATGTCTTTTTCACAAGTGCAACGAGTGTTCATTGCCGAACACTACGTGGCATCTTCTTCCTACTCGACCTGCCAAAATGAGTTTAATAATACGATTCCCGATTATCCTGTCCTAAGCAACTCGACAATATCTCGTCTGGTGAACAGTTTCCGTGACAATGAAACTTCACCAGGTTTCATCAACACGAGAAAAAGAGTAAATTCATGCATCGCTGAACGTGTAGGACATTTACAACACTTCATATAACATTGTTTCTTGTTCTGTTCTATTTGTAACTTACTTCTGACAAACAGAACGTGTGATGAACGGGGTTCGCAAATTTTCAATCAGCCCGATAAAAAATTATCTTACTCCGCGATCAGGAAAGTTCCGGAAAAGAGCGATAAGTCTTTAACAACAACAACAAATCGACAAAACCGACATTACAGTTCGATGTTTACGCAGTATTATAAATAATCCAGCGTCGAGCCACAGGGAGATGGCAGTTCTGTGAACAGTAAGCCTGCAAGTTTCGAGGAAGACATGAACATAAGACTCAATTTCAAAAGTATTTTCCGTAAGATGGGTAATGAGCCTCATTATTATTTGCCCTCGTTTTTTTTCCAAACAACTTTTCGGGAACTGGATCTGTTAGTCTAGTCATGAGGCTACGTAGATCGTTCAAAGGGGTCCAACTAAGGGCAAACCTTCCATCTTCCCATATGTTATACATGAAGACGAAAACAGATTTAGTTTCCGAGACGTTTTCATAAAAAAAACAGTACGATGGACAATGTACAGAATAAGTCATGTTTATTTACTGTAACAAAACATCGTGATGGTGTATCGTCAGAAACCTCTACATTTAAGACAGCTCAATATTTATGGTTGCAAACAGGAGCGGAAATTATTAAGATTTTGGAAATATTCCTGATCTATTTTTCCTAGTTCACCGGACTACATGAAGGGGTGATTAGAGAGATAATAAATCTATCCAAGTGGATTAATTTTATAGTAAGGTTAACTTAACCTATCTTCCGCACCAAATGGCAATGGTTATACCTTCAAGGCTCGGTTTTTTAACGAGGTAATGTTCGTTACTCAGAAGACAGGCTTTGACATTGCCAGTACAAACTCATACGGAAGTCCGACAGCAGCCAAATCTTTGGCTAAAAATCGATGTATTCCAGCTGAGAAAACATTGCGCCTTAATCCGGTCGAGTTGTGTGCAAGTTAAATTCAACTTAATTTTCTGTTTTATACTTGTTTGTGGAAAAACTGAACACTTTACAGATTATTAGCAATATAAAAAAGCCAATGGCATGGCATTCGTATGGAGTTTCACTGAAACTTTACCATTACTTTCTAGAATACTAATTCCACTGTATAATCCTCTCGCAACGAAACGCAGATAACAGGACAACGAAGAAGGAATTCCGTTCGTTCTAGACCCTAAATATTAGTCGTTCAGTTCTTTCAAGTACATACAAAGAAAATCTGGTACAAACATCAGACACATTCATCTGGGGCACAAATCAGTGCCACGAGGTGTATTCAAGCCGTCGAAGATGTCGCTTTTCTTCACACATAATGACACCACCACGACATGAAAGAATATACAAGGCGTACAAGTGTTACGTATGAAGGCCTCGGTGCTAGATGGAGATTGAATATAATCATAATTGATAATTATCAACTGCGCGCCCCGGCAGCCTTACTCCGTGAGACAGCCCCAGATAAAAACTGAACAGAAAACTTTCTGGACTCTAGAACCGTCCAGCACTTAAGTCTCTGCCGGAAACGAAAACCCAGCCGTCCATCTTCTAGTTGTCACCGAGCTAATCGCCAATCTACCCAAGAGTGTATTCCCTTCTTTACAAAAGCCCCAACTGGGCTCTATCGTGAGTTATGTTCATCCAGTCTACACTACATTTCAATTAAGACATAAGGATAATGCGGTGTAACTCTCCCTTCGCTTAGGATTCTCAAGTGGACTCTTTCCTTATGAGTGTCCTACTAACTATGTACGCATTTCTCATCACCTGTCATTAAGTGTTTGTTACATAAAAGCCAACAATGGCATACGAGATGTAAGATCTCGCGTGACTGATCAGGGAACGTCATCTTGTTTACTACCCTGGCGGGGAAACAGGAAGTAGTCTCAACTTTCACTATCATGACTTCAGAGTGGTGCACGATGGATGGATGGATGGATGGTACAATCCGAACATCCCTAGTCACACCGTATCACACTAATATGCATATTTAACATTCTCTTCAACGCGGTTTCATGACTTGAGGTTTTCCGACTAAAACTGAGTTTTCATTTTCCATCTTCCCTATACGCTATATTCCCCATTCACGTTATCCTCCTCGATTTAAACACTTAATATTCAAATGAATGTTCACACTGATTATGCTTTGTTATTTCGACAGGTATAACACTGCTATTCAATTAGCAGCGAAAAACTAATTACTTAATTCGATTTATGGTATCCACGAAGCGTAAAATGTAGCGCATTTTCGTGTGTAATTTACAAGTCAGCAATTCATTGACCCTAGCTTCAGATGCCACGGAGAAAGGATAGGGTTTTAATCCCCCCTCCTCAAAAAACAAAGGAATTTCAGCCAAGTTGGAAACTACTGTGCGAAGAACAAACAAACAAACAGACATAACAAAGCACAGACTTTCTCTTTGGCTTCACCAACAGTCCATTTCATTATAGCACAGAGGTAACTATTCGTTCATCTGCTTTAACGTACATTAATTTCATTTCATGTGTTCCATTCAGATTCCACAATAAACAGCAACTGTTTCCTCAACCGTCCGACCTTTGTAACGGAGACGCGGTGCTATTATTGGAGCTAGAAACAGAATGATTAAATATTGTAGGCCCATAAATGGGCTTCACACTTTAAAGGTCATCCCGGCAAAGGTTTCCTTGATTTTTCTGTCTTCAAGCAAATTGTGCGATAACACCCAAGTTACAAGTTGCTGCTGAATCATATTCATACTGCCCTGCTGATTACAAACGCCAATAAAATAATCTCCCTGTAGGATTTGAGGTTTTCACGGCGGTGAGTCTGAAGATGGCTGTCTTCTGGGCCCCTGCTGCCGAAGCCACCAAATTACCTACACAGTAGATTCCGGTTATTTGGCCATCGGTTAATAGGGGCAGCCGTTTATTTGGGACAAATCTTAAAGAACAAACCTTTTTAACTCTTTACGTGGAACTTCGCATAATTGGGGGCAGCCACTTAATAGGGCCAAAGTGTTCTAGTCCACTGTATTTTCACCCCACCATCGAAGAATTAAAATTCCACGGTCTCTGTCTCAAGCTAATACTTCTTACTACCCTAAGTCCTTGCATTCTTATTATCCTCAAGGAAAGGACAAGCGGGCGAAGTATGGGGACCCATTCCAATAAAGTTATTCTCTTCATGATTTTCTCTTTGTGCCTTATCTTATAATATTTCTCTGGACTATTTTTCTCGCTTAAAAAGATGGCTTTTGAAGCCACTTATTCGTCTGTAATAATGACAGTGGAGACGTTACTTGGTAATCACGTTCCAGGAGTGTCAGAAAATGTCATTGAATTTTGTCAAATATTCATAATTTAAAAGTCCCGAATAAAACTTGTGAGTCTCACAAAGTCTATATTTTGTCTTCTACAAATTTCTTACATTACGAACCGATTTTAGGAAAACCAATGGTGGTCGACTAGAAGATTGCAATAAGTAGGGTTTATGTTGGACCCATGTAAACGATAACTAATATTTTTCTATATATTGTACGGTATAATCAAATAAGAAATTTAATAAAACCCACCCATAAATTTTGGTGATGAAACAAGAGAACACGTGCTCAAAGAACACATCCACACGCCCTTTTAACCATGAAGTGCCTCGACACGAAGATGTTGCCCACAATACCACTTCCATAAAATCTTGCTGGACAATAAAACATCGGACACAACAAAGGAAACTTAATTTTAAATGGGAGAATAATATTAAAAATGAATGTTGAAGAAACATATTGTGGTTGTGAACTGGACTGAACTGGCTCAGGACAGAGTCCAGCAGTAATACTCTGTAATGAACTTCAGAAATGCTAATTGATTTACATGCTACTGTGACTTTTATTACAGACGCTCCTCATGGGCGATCATCATTTGCACACTGCTTACTGCACATTGTTCCGCCCAACAATACACGCCCCTTGTCGCCAGCTCGGACAGCGAGTGCGCCCTGCTTCTGGAAGGACCCGGCAGGACGAGCGCTTTCGATTATAACCTCAACGCACTCAGAGGAACTTTGTAAGTATACCACCCCTTCCCATATGCCTCGTGTTCTTCCTTATCGCCGCCATTATCTTTATCGTTTCATCCACATCTTCTGCTTGGCGATATATCCCGATTAGAGCTTTGGCCTTTAGACAACTTGGAGGATCCAGCTAATGGGACATTAATTTTCATTCCCACCATTTCCTCTTACACAGTCAAAACTTTGATAATGTTAAGAAGACCAGGCCCTCACCGTGGTTCGCTTCTCACGCTACAATATAGGTCCCTTCCGAAACGTTTCACTGCCTGCCTGCAATTTTAAATATGTTACTGAATTTCCTTCTTCGGGAGAAGTTATTACTTATGTGAAGATTTTGTAAATGTTAAATTTCTCGGGTATAACATTAAATATCCGACAGTCGCCATGTTTTAAACTGTTGAATTTTTTTACACTTCTTACCAAACGCACAACTTTATGCACATGCTTATGACAGCTGATCTTTAGTTGAAGTGTGCAGTCAGGCAGTAATTCACAAATGGACCCCGTTCAAAGCCGGGCATTTTCTCATTTTACTGTCCTATCTAACATGAGTCTCCCAAATAATATTTATTAACTACTTTGTCTCTAATGTCCAAATTTCCTTGTCAGCACTGCTCTCAAAAACCCTCAAAAATACCTTTGGGCATCTTGCAAGTTCAGCCGATGTTTGTCACCTGGCGATAATGACTTTTTTATCTTAAATTCTTACACCTCCTATATCCATAAGTTATGACGAAAGATAAATACAAAAAACTGAAAGTGGTTTGATCATCATATAATCTATTTATAAACTCCGTTAATTGGTTGTATAGTTGCTAGTGGAAGAAAAATATGGAGATTCTGTTACTTTGGAACGATGAATGGTAGACAATCTCTTCTGCAATGACAGCGATTATGTAACTACTACATTTCGAGCGCATACTAATTAAAACAAATGAACGTGCTATTTAGAAGAAACCTGATCAGTATCTCTTGTACACGTAAGAAATTAACGTGGCAAAGGTGCTTACCTAAATTCGAGTCGTGTTACTGTATACGGAACAAAACCCCGCCCATTATTAAGTCGTTTACAATGCGGAGCGTGCATTTTAATCTCACCACTCATATTGCGTCATCACATTTCGTGGACTCATGGAATGCTGTCACTTTGGTTCATAGCCCTGGTTATCGAGTATCTATTTCACAACAGAGGTTTCTTTCTTAAAATAAATTATACCAAAAGCCTTTTCGAGTAAAGGACCATGAAAGGGAATGAGTAATGTGAAGAAATTAAGCAGAAAAACAGAGATAGATGGGATAATCTCATTTATAAAATGGGAAATAATACACGTCATACGATTTCGCGCATGGAAGTATTGGAGATATCATCATAAAATCAAAACAATGTTTAGAATTTTATAAAAGATTATAAAGGGCACTTTTTGCCTGAATTGCAGGATATTTATGAAATAACAATAACAAAGAAAAACATTTTTTTCAGATTTTTGTCTTGCGTCTTGTCACATCGTGCTATAGGAGGTTGCCGACTTTTCGGAGTAATATGCTGCTTTCATCTTCAGGATAGAAGTCTACTATAAAGTAGGCGGCATGTTCCAGAAACCAAAATTTGAACTCTGAGCGCAGTGAAAATCTAAAACCTCACATAATATTATCTGTTTCTTTCGAGCATAAGACGAAAACCATTATACGTAAGGAGTAGAAACCAAAGGACGTCTACATGAATGTCAGCCACAAAAAACAAGAAAGGTCCAAGGGGTTAATGGATAAGGCTGAGGTTCTAAAACATTTTAGCAGTGAAGTTCTTTAACATCCGCCGTCGTAGCATCTTGAAATATATCAGAACTCCTACATATTCTCACAACTCATTCGAAGACCATTCAGTTTTCTCTGAAATTTAATTTCTCGGAATGTTTCGGAAGCATGAGATTCTAGATTGGTGGGAAACGATGGCAAAACAAAAGGCCAGGAAATTATTTTCCTGTAACAGGAAGAAATCTACGTAATTTCCTGCTTAATTATATACTAGGCCTGATATTTTTAAATGATCTCGTAACAATGAAATAAAAGCAACATTTCGTTACTGGAGCTGCTGACTATATATAACGCCGTTTCACTGTTAATTTATTCTCCCGTGAATCTGACGTGGACGGTGAGGTCTTCTGCATTCAACACTTCGACTGTGACGTTCTGACTTTGAACATCACTCTTCGGATAATGACCGTCGTCATGGTTCGTATGTACACTACGTTCAAGCATCCGGCATTCACCAGTCAACTCTCTTTATGCCCACATGCAGTTGCAGTTGAGTACCATTGTCAGCAATGTACTTGACCAATGACTGCAAAATCCCAAAGAATATCCACAATAAAAAATAGGAATAAAGGAACGAGAATTCAATCGATAAAGACAGAAGAGCGGAAGAGTGAAATAAACAAGAGAAATAGAACGAGAAAGCTAAGGATAGAACACCAAAGAAAAAAACAGGGCAAAGTTGAAATACAGAGAAAAATAATTTAAAAACAGAAAACAAAGAGGAACACAAGGAGGAAGTATATAATGAGATATGTAAAATAAAAAGAAACATAACAAAGAAATTGTTACAGAATGGACGAAATAACAAAGAAAAAATTAAGAAAAGGCAGACAAGTTAGCCTGAAAGCAAGAATAGCAGAAGGCATCAAAGAAAACGGGAGACGCCTTTCTTGCGCTCGTGGTCTAATCCGCAACTCACGCTGTCTACCACTGTTCTCAAAAGGCTATCTTTCCTATGATCACTGTTCTCTGAGAGGAGTGTTCTGAACTCAGAAAGTAGTGTTATTTGTTTAAGGACTTAATAACACAACTTTGACATCCGGAAACATGTAACTCAACATGGCTTTATAACAAACGACGACGTTTGCAGCCAGTCCGAACGTTTGAATTCCATGTGCCTCCGTACAGCGGGATCGTCAGTCTACAAAAAACAATCTAGAACCACGTACATGCTCAATAACGAGATTGTTTTAGACTTGGCTCGGATTTTCACAATATAAAAAAAAAGTTTCAAACCGAAGATGCAGATCACAGTAAATAAATGTGTACATATCTGTACATGGATACATACGTATTCACATTGCAAAAGAAAAAATACCAAAGATGTTTTCTTACAGTCAATTTATCAAAAAGACCTTAATTCTTGTCTGGCTTTTTTTGTTGGCCTGCTTTGTTTTAAATTCTGCTTTGGCGATTAGTCGAGTTATCCTGAATATAATACAGCATTGAGAGTAGTTACAAATATTTTAATTACATATCAGAGACAATCTGAGACCACGGATAATTGGGTCTCAGATGATAGGCGCTATACTCCTTCAAGGTTTTCAAACTAACATGCCGTTAGTGTCCCAAGGCTGAGGGGAGTGTGTACCCGAGGGCTCTTCGTGATGTGAATATATGGCCCTTGACCTATGGTACCCAATTCACGCAAAAACTGTAGCAGGGATCTGCCACGAACCACACACAGGATTCACAATATGTGCGCTGTGCTGCAGGAAAGAGGCTCAGCCCCTCATTGGCGTTTTACGATTAGACTCGCCACCCAACTGCTTGCTACGTAAATAACAAACTCACTAACAAACACGCCAAGCAATTAACTAATTACGGCAGTAGCTATAAATCCAACCAACCACGTAACTGCCGACTGAAACAGTGTTTCTTCTCAATCATTCCCACACAGCTGCACAGAAGAATATGACACACAAAATCGCTCATTAGGCCTAATGTAACGTTATGTGTATTAGCCTAATTAAATAATACAAAATATAAAGAATTTAACAAAGAGATATCAGGGCAGGCAGATCGGGCATATCGATTGCCACGACATTCCAGTTGAAGGACACTGGATTAACCCACTGACTACTTGACTTACGTAACGGACTAAGTAAGTCTAGCGTAGACTTGCTCCCTTAAGACAACGTTTACTGTAATTATTCGACAATCAAGAAATCTGCTGTCTTTATGTACTCAAAAATTCACATTTGTTACCTCAAAAGCCCAAAAGCAACCGGAACCTTAATGAGCCAACGTTCATTTACTTCCCATCTTCAAAACCTATCTCTGCAAAATCAATTTTTATTTTCTTATTTAATTTATGAGTCTGAGACTTGTAGGTGCGGTTATTCAACCACGGGTTTCATATATCATACGGTTTTCCCAATTTTTTTCTAACAATATGAGCATATGTTAATCAGGGAATGGGCGTTCGGTCGAAAAACCCACTGTGGTTCTTTAAAAAAACTGCTAAGAAAAAAATTCCTTCATGATAAAACAAAATATTTAAGTTTGTGTTTTCACGTGTTACACCAAATGAAACGTTACCCTTCGAACCTACGAAGTAAACAGTTTTCAAAGACGGCACTCATATTCACGTGACACGAAACATAGATCTTGGTAGTCTGTAAAGTTTATTTGGTACGGCCAGACTAACATATCTGTCCTATAAAACTGTTGATTTATTTTGTAAGCAATATAATTGCATCCGATAAACATAAAATGTAAGCTTTAAACCCCTTTATTTCCGTGTTGCAGTGGCTATGGAGGCCAGCACACCTGCGTCACATACGACGCCATCAATCAGGCGTACATCCAGGCGAGGAAACGAATCAGTAAGTATAATTTCGTATGGACATTTTAGATTATTCTACGATACAAAGTTATCGGATGCCAAGTCTGCAATGTGTTATCTACAACTATTTTTTTTTGAGAGGGTAGCTACAAAACTCCTCAATAAAATGAAGTAGGTGGAATTTGCTTCCGGAACGCCATGACAACAACTACAAATAACCTTTTCTTTATAAAAAAAAAAAGGTCCAAATAAAGCCCGAAATATTCTATGTAACGTTTGACTTATATAATCTGAACCAGGCCCGAACCAAGACATTATCTGTGTTACGAGGACCATTCCCGGGCCTCGGGTCGAAGCCAGAATGCCAGGCCGGGGCCAGTGCAGACCTCTACTACAGAGACGGTCAGTTACAGCATTGAACTTGCAGAAACCTGAGCAAACTTTCATTCAGGCACGTGCTGTCCAAATGACAATGTTGGTTGGATGAACGAAGAAACAATCTCAAGAATAATCAGTTGTAGAAGTTAATTTCGTGTTCTTCTAAGAGTAACAAGCGCGAAAACGCAAGGCGTGTGAACCCAAGTGAGGATGAGAGAAAGTTTGCTTTTAGTATCCGGTATGAAAGATCATCAGTCTGCAGTTTCTTAGTAGTTCTGAAGGAGATTGGTTTTGAAAGGCGGGAAGATGACGGCCAATTCTCATACCGGAGTCAATGAATCAAGTAAAATGCACCGAGAAGAAAGTAAGAGAAAGCAACCACGATTAATACAGTTCTAGTTCTACTTGGGGATAAGCCAGTCAGCGCGCTCATTTCCAACAAAACTGCTGTGACTATCGGCATAGTAAACGCGATGCGGTATAGCGGGTTCCTCTCGTGGTCTTTGAGACGGTCAAACACTCCGCGTCCAACAAACAACGCATGGGACGTCAATCGGAAAAATGCCTTGTGTGTTCTTTGTACAAAATGTATGTAGGATAGGGTGACCTTGGAGACCCAAATGCCACGAGGGATATTGGGAAAGTCTATTACACGGGGATGGACCTGCTTCTGATTTCTTTTTTGTAACGCAATACATTGTTGCTGGGTTGCATTTTTAATGGAACATTCTCTAGTTCTCAATATAATCTACAACTTTTATACAATTTTTTAAAAAATACCAGGATACCAATTTCTGCCTCTAGCTATAACAGATTGTATCTGTAACAATTGAATATCAGGCCAAATTACTGTTTTATCACGTAACGAGTAGTTTTCGCATTGTCATCTGCCTGTCCTCATATAACTCGAGTTTTACTAAACTTTGACAAAAATCGTAGCGAAACAATTTCAAACAGACGCGTTATGCCCAAATCATGTTTTTCGTAAGTCTTGCAGCTTTCGAGATAATTGAACAAAAGCGGAATTACGGTGTCTCGTTCTACAATGGTCTCATTTTAATCAGATGTTATGGTGAGGGTCCTAGCTCATTTGTCACCCCTGTTTTATGCTAGTTGTAAGACAGCATCAAAAGTTAGCACCCACAAATTAAATATCCAGAGGCGATAACAAGATATAAAACTTGCCAGTATTTTTACACTATGCGTACTTGTTCATAATAATGAAGGCCTAAGTAATTTTCAGAAATATTAGGACTACATCTTACATACACATACGTCTAACACCAGAGATAATCAAAGTAACTACCATATGAGATGTAACATGCAGCCAGGGGCAATCCCTATAATGCTTTTCTTTCGCATACACTTTTTGCAAACCCGTGCACTGATAAAGTCTTTTACTTGTTCCAGATGTGGCCCAGCCAAAGACGCCAATATGGAAGACAGAAGAAATAGCAACGGTGGGGGAACTTCTGCATGACATTTCCATCAACCTTGCAAAAAACGTAAGCAACTTCACGGAGGAATTATCTACGAGCTGCTGCGATTTCTCCCTTATGTGAAACTGCGTGTATGGAGTACAATCTTTCTTCAAATGCCGATAATCGCTCAGAGGATTCAGAAATTGAACATCTTTATGCAAACCGAAGCTTCACTTTCGCGTTCATAACACAACACGGCACTGGACACTATTTGATTCAGATAAATGTAACCACGTCATCGCCCTTTTTATTTAGTTCTATTACAATATTATATTTCCATACATGCCTACACGAAGAGTTATTCCTTCAGGTTTCCTACTACAGTTTTGCAATCTCTTGTCCTCCAAGAACACTAAATTATCTGCCCACTTTATCATTCTTTATTTTATAATCGTAAAATAACGTTAGAGTTAACCTACCACAGAGTAGATAAAATGAGCGGTAAAGTATGGCAAGTAGCGAAACTAGAAATGCATATGGAAATTATGGAAAAAAATAGTCCAAACTAAACAAATATCACAGCCTAATCACACACAAAAATTTAACAACTGCACGCCCGTAAAGTAAAATGCCTTTCTTTGCGAGACTGGCGAAATGCTGGATCAGAGATGAAGCCCTAAACTTACGAACGATTATACGTTCTGCTTGGTCAGGGTTATCGCACACAGAACGGCGGTAGATGAATAGAAGCAATGGCTGAATGATGATTAGTAGGGATTCAGAATAAATCGAAGAAAAACCTGTTCCATCTTCAACCGCCGTGCTCTAGCGGTACCTGTCGCAATCATTTCAAACTTCAAAATGCCGCAACCGATAGTAATCGTGCAGACGTTCGGTTCTAATAGCGTAAAATTGAGTTTAGTTCCGTTTCAGCATTCAAAGCGTGTCGTTCATTCGTTTTCAGGAAGCACAAAACTATTTTGATACGGATGGCATAACACAGAAATAAGCTACTAGCATAGGTCCTTCCCTTTTAATTCATCCCCCCCCTTTGTGCCGTCACCCACCGGCACAGCTGGGTAGAACGCAGAGAATCAAGAATTTTCAGAAATCTATTAACAAAAATTGCCATTAATTTCTAGCAAGAGCGACATAACAAACATAGACATTTATTATTCCATGGGGCGGGGGGAGAAACACACAAAGAATTAATAATTTATACAAATGTGTGATCCACATGTGGTACATATAGTACGAATGGAAAAAATATAAGTGTGTACAAAAAATTGGTCCGAAAACCTCAATGGAAGTGACTAGTCGGCAGATAATGATAAACGGGAAGATTAGAAAATAATAAGATACTTATCTTGAAGAAAATATTGTGAACTGGAGGCTCAGAACATGGTAAAGTGGCGAGTCCTTATTGACATGGTAACCAAAAATCTGGTTCCATAAAAGACGGGGAACTTCATTACCAACTGAGCGCTCGTCTACTTTCCAAAAAACATTCTATGTGATTAGTCAACTAGTTTCTTAGTTATTCAGTGAGTTATTAACTTGTGAGCTAGTGAGTTAATCACATAGTGACTAAATTAATAAGAAAGATAAACGGTTATTCACATAGTTCGTTAATCACTGGGCATAAACTTCATACATAATGAGCACATCAGAACAAGAGTGGTTTGCATCATCTGTCTGTTGGCACAGCCATTACAGACGAATTCCATGTCGCGGAGGGGAAAGTACATTTGTTACTCGATAAAACTGCAATGGTGAAAGTTATCTTCAAGAACACAGGCGGCAGCAGCGCCTTCTCATATTGAGTGTCACATTTTAGAGCAGCATCGTGTTGCGTCTTGATTCAGCGTCACGCGGAAATAAACCAAAATGACTGACCTACCAAACTGCAGACTTGTAAAACTGACTGGTTAACTAAATAATTAATTCAATGCACTTAATCTAACTGGCACCCTGACTTGACTACAGTAACCAACTAACCAAACAGCTGGCTAACTCCACATCAGAGTCTTCGTATTCACCGGCGTGAAAACCTCAAATCCAACATTCTTTGTTCATGTCTCCGCGCTTGCTACATCTCATTCTGTATCTATTCAGCGACAATTTACAACGGATTTTGACAGTGTAACAATAAATGGGTTGTTATGACATGAGTAATAATGATAAGGCTGTAAAAGTATAATCCATACAGGAGCACACATGTATAAATAAGAGTTCTTTGCGAATTCTGAATTCTAAACATATAGCCTGACTTGCCTCAGCCTTATCTACCCTAACCTAACCTGAGGTTGTTATGTTTACCTCTGCCGTTTTACTCTCGAGGAATCAGGTCGCCAGTTTCAACTGGATTATTCCAGCTCAGGATATAACGATATATTTTTGTGATGACTGTGATAAATTTTCGGGTTCAATAGAATTCGAATATTTCTTGATCACCTAAATACCCACAACTTGCTCGGTAGGAACTCTGTCCCATGCACGGTGTTAGTAGTCTCACTGTTTCGTCTTTGTTTCCCTTCTTTTAATATGCTCCGTTCACGCTTTCGGTAGAGCAGACATCAGGGCGTTAAACAGAAAACCTACATCACAATGAGGAGACGATTGCAAGAAGTGAGGAAATTTTTAACGCCACGTAGCTCAAGTAACCACCAATGATACTAATAACCCTTTAATGCGCTGTACATCTGGGTATTTTATTTGTTCCTGGCCGTTCTGGTTAACAGGCAGACGTTGTGTGAGTCGCGGACACGATTTGTTATCTGTGACAGTAATTCCCTCAGTTCCTCATCCGTCGGCCATTAAGAAGTCACAATTTTATTCCTACCTGTCAGGCAGGTTTTCACGTTTCCTGTCACCCGCAGGTACGGCCTGAGCTATGAAGACATCGAAAAGGGGCTTCCCCTCATCGACACGTCCAAGACACTTATAAGGGAAGTGTGTCCGCCGTTCCTGGCCAACGTGGAGTGCCGCCCTGGGAAGTACCGGCGGTACGATGGTCTGTGCTCTAACCTGCAGCACCCGACATGGGGTGCCACCATGACGCCGTTCACAAGGTAGGTCTGCTCTCATTCCTGGAGGGAAAACAGAGTGGGATACATTGCACATCAACAAACTGCTGACAATATTTGTGCAAAAGTGAAACAGTTCAAAGATGAGATTTGAAATGTCGACGGCTCTGAAAATCTGGATTGTGATCTTCTGGATCATGACGCCGTGTATATTTGTAACTGGTTACCAAAGTTTCGAAGGAACTTATCGTCTTAGTCTTACAGGCGTAAGATGCGATGGAGGTGATATGTGTGATATGTCCTTCCGAAGCCATGGTAACGACAGACAGACGTTATAACACAGAAGATCCAACCAGGCACCAGAAGTGTTCAACTTTCGTATCTTACTAACGCATTATGTACGTTTAACGGTGATTTCCGTGCCCGGTGTCTCAGGCTGGTGGGGTCACCTGTACGCCGATGGTATGACGGCGCCCAGGATTAGTGTGACCGGTACCCAGTTGCCCCTACCCCGGATCGTGTCCAGAACGGTGCATCCCGACGAGGGCTTTCACGACCACGCGGGCACCGTCATGGTTGTGGCCTGGGGACAGTTCATGGATCATGACTACACGCTGACAGCCACGCCTCTTGGTCAGTAAGCGTATTTTTATACATCGCTGATTCTTCTTCGTTTTGTGTTCCCCTCCTCTTCACTTAAAATATGTGTGTATTAGAGTTTTAAATGGTTTTATAAAAATAACTGCTATTTTATATTTAAATAATCTCAAGCTCTTTTTTAAATTAAATATATTTGACATGCGAAAGGAGAAAAAATTAAAAATCCCTCACATATGTGACATAAAAACTGGTATCATTAAATGAACAAACGTTGCAGATCTGATCGAGAAATTCCCCGAATATTATGGAATCCGAAGGTTCATTGTCGTATTCAAAACAGCTCGCCAATGGACCCTACCTACGCCAGATTAATCAAGTCCACATCTCCCACTTTCGAACTTTAAGGTCCATTTTAGTATTATCCTCTTATCTATATCTGCAACAATGAAAAATAATCAAACTATACGAGTAATAACGAATGACATTTTTATGTGCAGTCGTCAATACGGTTTCAACGTAAAGTAACGTGTAGATTTTAGGCTAAACCGATTTTGGTCCAATATACTTTGGGCTTCCATTAGTAATCCAAGGTCGGCTCTTGAATCACCATTCATGATGATGGAGACAGTAAGCACCTCTGAAGCATCGGACAGTTCTACGGGACTACACGGCACAACATCCCAGATGACAGTCATCTTCAGATAAAATTAAGACATCTTCGGAAGATACGTTGTGACGGAGGAAGATGCATGGAACTGGCTCAGGATTGTCTGATAGCGGACTCTCATTATCGATGTCGTGTTCTACTATTAAACTTTTATTAAGTTAGGTTGTTGGATATGGTATTCTGTTCCAGTCACCATGCATACCACTCCGCATAAATCCGCTTGTCTGCAAGCGAAAAGGCTGGCTACATATTGCTTTAGTTTCTGTAAAATATTTCCTGCGGGTGTTATTTCAAAATTCTCCGCTTGTACTTTCACTTTCTGCTTTGTTCTTCCCTTCACTAAGCTCTTTCATGAGAAAACTTTGAGCAGATCTGCTAATCTTACCGCGAACTGACAAAACGTTCTTCCCACTGCCTGTCAAATGCGGGAATATGTAAAAGCCTACGTTCAAATTATGAGGTAGATTTTTGCACGCATGGGAAAATGACAAATGCATACACAATTTTCTAAGGAGAACCTGAAAGGAAGAGGCCGCTTATAAGACATAGGCGCACAATGTAGGATAATATTAAAATGGATCTGAAAGCAATAGGATGTGATTCATTTAATAAAGTTACCATTAAAATGAACACCTCCAAATCAAAGTAGTTGCATGAAGTAATATTGACAATAGTCGTAGCGGTACTGCCATTACTTCCACTGCTTTGACGAAATTTGGTGCAAGTCTGTTGTAAGTTAACAAGTTTCATCCCAGTTGGTGTCGTTTTCGTTTGCGTGTAATAGTGACGAAACTGGAACCTTTCAAATTCTTCCTACGAAATGCACATAAAAACGTACAAGTTTACTTAAGATTTCTTTCACATTTGCTACGGTATGAAGAAAGTGGGTTCTCCGTGTATCTGGATGGTTGAAGATCGTGTCTTCAGTGCACCAGGTTATAATCAGTCGTAACTGCCGCTTTAGAACACGAAAAGAGAGAGACGAATGAAAATTTGGAGGCCACAACACAGCACGCTTGCAATGTCGGAGGTGCGACAGAGTAGCTCAGGGCTGTACAAACTATTCGGAACTAAGTGTGAAATAAGATACACTAGCCCTACGTGAAGTCAAATACTTGCGTTATTTTATGGAGCTTTATCAACTGCTGAGTATACTGATATCTTATAACAGTCTTCTGCGCTAGGCAGAGCGCACAAAATACTTACCGGCTTAAAACTTTCTTCAAAACAACAAAATAATAACAACGTAAGTTTGTAACTATGCCTGAACACCCATTTGGGTTTATTGGAGCCTTGGATATGGAGCTTTATGTATTCTAGACCTCAGAACAGACGAAAGTGAATGGTGAGCTTCACGCCAAGGATGATTTTTATCCCAGAAAAAGAGGCCCCCGGAAGCCATTGGGTAGGGCTCTGGATGGATTTCAGATCATCAGTAGTGACGAAGAGAAATATCCCTTTCCGGGGAACAGAACCTAGTTACGAGTGGGCTATAAAGGGCTATTATTATTTAAGATCTGCATCTTCTTTGTACACGACATACATAAAATGAGCGCATGTAAAGGTCTGTCTGTTCGTTTCTTTCTAATCGAGAACGTTTTACGAATTTTCACGAATCATGGTATGGACATTATTCCATTGAAGGTCAACTCAATCTCATTCTTTTCTTAATTTCCTACAAACGAACGTTGCGGCCGAGTAATTAGCTCTCCTACTTCATATTAAGAGGCTCCGGCTTCAAATATCGGCGCCGAGAACAGCCACCATAATTTACGTATTGATGGTTCTCCTCAGTTCCTCCAGCAACTGACTTTAAATTAGACCACGCCCGATTCCTTTCAATTCAATACTCATTATTTTGCTCTATCATTCAACGCTATACACAGTCTGTCATTACGAATTAATTTAAATTAAGTCGCTTAACAACGAATTTTATCTCGACATAGACAATTCATAAAAGCAGGAGTATTCGAAAAGAATGTATGATGAAACTCCAATCTTGTCAATATTATTTTCGGTAGGCGTGTTAAGTGTGATTACTTAATTTCAGACCCGCTGAACAGGAACGAACCTGAGGAATGCTGTAACAGGCCTGCCCATCTTAAGAATCCATACTGCCTAGAGATTCATATCCCAGCTGACGACTACTTCTACAGCCTGTTTGGATTGCGGTGCCAGGATTTCGTACGGGGATTCCCCGCTGTGAGGCCTGGCTGCAGATTAGGTAAGGAACTTGGTACATTTTAATTTGTTGGACTCATTGTATCCAATTCAAATAAATATGTATTCTGATAGTTCAGTTTCTCACCAACAGCGAGTATGAATATGGCCGTACAGCGTGGTATAAGTGTACTGACGTTTTAGAGGTGCCTACTGCCCCAATCATCAGGATTTATAGCGCCTCTGAAACGTCGGTAAACTTCCAACAGATCATACGGCGCAACAACCCAGAAGACAACCATCTTCTAAACCTTCTGGGTATTCTGTTTGAGTTCTAAATTTCGTTGACTCAATCATAAAATTAAGTCATTACTCTTGCCTTTACCAACTCACAGTCAAATTAAAATTCAGAAAAATAGTCACTCCCTCCTGCTAGTCTGTAACAACAGGAATGACTTGGTCCCGAGGAATTTCTTTCATGTCACAATAAAACTCCAGTTCAGTGTACTGAAGAAGAGTTAGAAATTCAATATGAAATAAGAAGATAAACACGAATCTATTATATTTGAATTTCAGGTTCAAGAGCTCCATTCAACACTTTGACGGGCGTTTTAGATGGCAACACCGTTTATGGAGTTTCCGAAAAGTTTGCCAGGTAGGTGTACATAGGACGGAGGCAAGTGTCTCATTTTAAACATTTGAATTTAATTTACAATCCCTATTCATCATATCATTGCAACAATTATCTAATTAAGTAACTATTAGATAACACTAACAACACTAATCCCAAACTCCTTCTTAGTCTTTCGAGTCACTGTTTCGCCTTGTTTGCATTTGTTCTCTTCCCATATAAACTATGCAGTATGCGCTACACATCATTATCCCTTTTATTTCAGTGCCCTGATAATACTAAATAACTATCTACATAACTAAGTACTCTGTTGTCATGTCCTTAATCTGCCACTTCATACATCTCAGGCCCAAATATTTTCCTGGGTGCTTTCTTTTCAAATACCTATAATTTATATTTTTTGCCTAAGCAATTACTATTAAACAACACGGAAACAATTATTAGTTTCCACTGACAGCAGAGAGTAAGTATTGTTTTTAAATACGCTTTTCACATAAATGCATGTTTGACTCCTCTGTGCTCATATTTGTTTGCTTAACTATACAGCAGTCTCCCTATTATCCGATGGCAGGTTAACCTGGGTCAATCTGGTTTAAACGGAAATTAAAAATTTATATAAGTCTGTTATAAAATTTAGAACGTTTAAAAATAAGAAAATAAATGCTACAATGACATTATTTAACGTATTAACATAAATTAACTGTTGCTAAAATCTGACGTAATAATCCTTTTACTGTCTGTAAAGACAATTATAATTCAGGACTTTACACATAATTAATGTTTGTAACAATCTCTGTATCAGACATCTGAGAGCAGGATATGGTGGCCTGATGCGAATGAATCCCGTATTTACCGAATATGGTTTAAAGGACCTACTGCCGCTTAAACTGGACATCCCTGATGAGGGCTGTACGCGACCCAACAGATCTATGTACTGTTTTGAAGGAGGTAAGTACTGTAATTATAAAAAAATATATATATGCGGTGTTTAACCCATTAGTATGTTTTTAAGGATGCAGAATGTCTGTCAGTTTGAACGATGTTGGCTAATGAGGGATGCAGAATATCTGTCAGTTTGAACGATGTTGGCTAATTTGACAGCTGTGTAATGTCACAGAATGAAAGTTAAAATAGGTTTCGTGATAATTTTGTGGTTGGTAGATTAATTGGTTTAAGACTGACTAAACTGCATTGGTCTGGCACAACTGTCAACACATGAAGGTAAGGTTAACACTGAGTTAGGAAAGTCCTTATGTTATGAATCCTGTCCTTTAAATTCCTTACTTTACAAATGTACTTACAGTAGATAAGATAGTATGACATTAGTATAAGTTAAAAGACATACATTCACTGACAATTTGTTTAAATGTTTCAGGTGAGATCAGAGTGAATGAGCAACTGGTGCTGACATGCATGCACACCCTGATGGCAAGAGAACACAATCGTATTGCCCATGCACTGTCTCAAATCAATTCTCATTGGGATGATGAAACACTGTACCAGGTAATTCCTGACACAGTCAAAGCTATTATAAGACAATATTAGCATGTTTATGTTTTGCATAACTTTCTTTATTCTTATACTTTGGGGCTGTTTCGTGTATGTTGTAGGAAACCCGGCGCATTGTTATTGCAGAGATTCAACATATAACCTTCAACGAATTCCTTCCAATCATCCTTGGCAAAGAGGTCATGGAAAAGTTTGGACTCCTTACGCAGAAAGAGGTCGAGTAACAACTCTGATAATAATTTTAGATGAAATCTGTCGACACGTGAAACAGAATTTTTGCACAAATTAATATCCACCTAAATAGAAATACAAGTATTAATTACATTTAGTATACAAAATCAATTTGCTCATAAAACCATCAAATTTACAACAAAGCAGTTCAACTGTCTGTCACAAACATCATGGAATCATACGATCTGAGGTTCTCACAGCAGTGAGAATGAATCATTAACCCATGATCAAGATGGCTGCCTTCTGGGTTACAGTGTCATGTAGTCAGGTAAAACTTTATCAGCGTTTCAGAGGTATGCTGCCTCCATCATCAGGGCAATCAACACCCTGATGACGGAGGCAGCAAGCACCTCTGAAATGTTGGTAAACTTCTATCAGACTACATGGCGCTAAAACCCAGAAGGCAGCCATCTTCATTATGGGTTAATGATTAGATATCTTGCTAAATGTTTGATTGATCTTGGGACCGAATCTTAGCTATGGATTGTTGGCCATCCTGACTTCGGTTGTCAAATGTTCGCCTCATTCTTGCCTTGTTAAAATATGACACAATTGTTTCTGGGGAAAAGTTCAAAAGAAAATAATCTTATACAGCTTTCACAATGTAGATGCTGCTATCTTTGTTGCTTGGTGTTATCTTCAGGGATACTGGGATGGATACGATCCTAATGTCAACCCCAATGTAATTGACGCATTTGCTGCTGCTGCTTTCCGATTTGGGCACTCTCTCCTGCCTACAGCCATCGAGCGATGGAGCAAAGCACACAAGTTTATCGGTACGTCAAATGTTACTTAAAGTGAACAGTTTGAAAGCAGTGGTCAATTTCAGAATCCACAATTTTTAGTATAATTTCATTATCGCTAATGATTTTTAAAAGTGACTCATTTTAACGAAACTCGGTGTGAATGACACACCATTTGGGAACACATGTCATTAAGACCTAAAACTTGTATCCGAAACATTTCTTGATGAAATATATATTTAATTAAATACGAATAAAATAATTTATGCTTTGATGTAATGTCATATATTGACTTTAACTATTTCAACATCAGATCTGTATCTGCAGTAACTAAACGTCAGAACCATTAAGAGATATAAAATTACAAGAATGTATTTGAAAAATGTGTAGTGTTTAAATTGTGTGAGAAGAACATTTAATTTTCTATCTGCAGTAACTTTTATTCTGCTATTATACAAAAATATATTTGTTATTGTTCAGCATCTCGCAGACTTTCTGACTTGATCAGACAACCTTACGACCTGTACCGTGCTGGTGTTCTTGACGAGTATTTCATGGGGCTCATGAACCAGGTTGCACAAGCAATGGACGATTCTGTCACTCAGGAAGTAAGTGAACCTAACCTATGTGTTCAGACTACTGAACCACTGGATTAAATACTCTACAGTTCTCCAATTATTTGGTTCAATTAGGGCACGAAATTTCAAACGGAACCATTAATTTAAGTAATTTTATAAATTACTAACATGATATTGAAGCCAAAATGATGTATATACTTTATAATTACTGTGACCTTATGATGATTCATTTATCAATTAAAATTATGTATCCTCAATAAGCTAATTATTCAGAGATAATCATGATATCAACTTCGAGTTTATTAAACTGTAAAAAGCAGACAAAAAAGTCCTGAACCTGCAGCCTTTGATGTATCATAATGATCTTACTTGAATAAACAATTGCATTCCTGACTTATAATAGATCTGTTACATTTTATGGCCTTATTTTGCCACAATTTTGGGGAAGGGGTGTCTGTAAGGGTATCTCAATACTAAAAGGGTTCAACGGTCAAAACGTTTATGAGACACACAATATGATATACCGAGTGATTAGTTTGTTAAATTATTAATAACATGATTTCAGGTAACAAATCACTTATTCAAGAAACCAGGAGCACGCTTTGGTATGGACTTGGCGTCCTTTAACATGCAGAGGGGTCGTGAATTTGGCCTGCCAGGATACATGGAATTCAGGTGAGAATTAAACATACCAACGTGTTCTTAACACTGATATCTGAAGAGCATTTTGTCAAATATAATACTCCAACTGGATTAATTATTAACCCTTGGCGTGGTTCACTTCAAGTGCTTACGTAAACAACTAAAATAAAAGATACTGGAGCACATAAAATCCTCATGTTGTTCATGAAGTGCTATTGCATGATTTAAAAGTTGGGGTTTGTGTGCAATTGGAGCGCGGAGGGTAATTCGGCACGTGTTTTTGTACGAAACAATCAATTCCGAACATTATCACCCGATTTAAATCGTTGTGACATTTGTCGATCACGGTGAAAGAAAAAGTGTATGTGAACAATACGCATTCTTTGGAACAACTTCAAGACAATATTAGGCATGAAATTTCCGCTTTTCCCGTACTGCAACTTCAACGTGAGTCTAGGAATTATTCTTCATGATATGAGGCATGCTTAGAAGCAGAGGGTAGTCACTTCGGGACTCCTCTATAAAACAAGGTACGTTAAGTACAGCGGAAAAGCGGGCCGTGAATTACCAGTTACCGTGGCGGGTCTAAGTGAGCAGCGTGCCGTTTCAGATGCCGGATCCAGTCTAACGATTAATGGTGTAACGTATATATAAAATAGTCAAAAACACTTTTTCCTTTGTTATTTCAGAAAATTCTGTGGACTTCCTGATGCCCACTCTTTTGATGAGCTTTTTGGATCAATGTCAAATGAAACCATCAGGAGATACGCTTCAATTTACGAGTAAGTAATGTGATAAAATGCTAAGAGAAATAACATTGACGTATTTCATGCAACCGGCACAGCACAAGCATTTATCAGCCTATTTTTAAGACACACGTTCTTTCATCTACAGGCACCCCTCTGATGTTGACCTTTGGTCTGGTGGAGTCTCTGAAAGACCACTGCCAGGCAGCATGGTTGGACCAACATTTGCCTGCATTATTGCCACACAGTTCAGCTACTCCAGACGTGGGGACAGGTTCTGGTATGAGCTAGGCAACCAGCCTTCGTCATTTACACCAGGTAAGCTACATGTCCAGCCCATATTACTCCTCTTTATTTCAGTACCTTTCATTACTGAGAGACCTGTTTAAATCACAAATTTCCTCATATGTAATATTCTAAATTCACTTATTTCATCTTTGTTAGGTCCAAATATTTTACCTAGCACCTTGTTTTATAACAATTGTAAATTATGTTCTTCTTCAACATAACAGATCATGCCTAAAACCAAACTAAACAAACGGCAAGTTTATGTTTCATCTTCATCTTTAGTGTTATGCGATGCTAACAGATACTGAACTGCATAACAACAAGCACTTGCAGGTTTTATTCTTCCCCTAACCTTATTTCTATTAAGGCACTGTATACAATATTAAACTTTCTCATTTTTCAGAGCAACTCCAAGAGATCAGGAAAGCAAAGCTATCACGAGTTATCTGTGATAACACTGACCTAATCGATACCATTCAAGTGTATCCAATGGTATTGCCAGACCATGAGATGTAAGTACCATAACAATCTGTCAGCCTTTAGAACTTCCGGCAAGACATTCTGTTCATTTTGTTTTCAACATTTCTCCATATGTGGTTAAATTCCACAAAGCTAGACACTGCTGGCTATATTTTGTCATCTTTATCTCCAGTCTATGCTTAAGTTTCCCAAGTGCCCTCTTCACTCCAAACATTCCAACTAAAAATTTGTGTTCATTGTCAGTCGTGATCTTCTGGGTTGTGTGTGATACTGCGTGATCTTAGAGGTGGTTACCAGCGCTCAAAACACACACACAAGACAGAAGATTAGAATCAACATTTTCAACACATGCAAACCTCAAATCTTATACCTGTCTGCAGCAATTACTCCCCTATGCACACTACATGCCCCATCCACTGCACCCTTAATTTAATCACTGTGATATTATTTGATGAATAGTACAAATTATGAAATTCCCTGTTATGTAATTTTCTGTATCTTCCTATAGTTCCTCTCTCTTAACTAAAAATATTATCATCAGCATTTTGTCTCCCTTACAGTCAGAGATCCCGACTCCGACACCGACTCCTTTATGAAAGCTCAATACGTATTAATAATAGTAAACCTACTAAAATGGTAAATGGCACCATAAGATATTTCATCACCACCACGTGAATCATCAGCCTACTTTTTAGAATTATAACCTATATTTAAATATACGTCTAATGGCTATTGCAGAAATCGGTTGATTTGTAGACAGTTTGTATTACTAAATACCGGAGCCAAAGTTACAGAGCATTATTCCCACACCATGTGACTCAACGCGTCATTGAATCTCCATAGCGTGAGGCCGCCGGCGACTCACACGGTATAGAAATTGTTCTTAAGATATCGAGGTCGGAGTCGGTACATTTTTACCGACTCCGACTCCACCTAAAATTTCTTCCGACTCCATCTCCACAGCCCTGATATAAACAAATGGAAAAACTATGTTTTTATACAGATTTTAACAGGAAGCAGAAAGATTAAAGGCTGCCAGTGAACAGTAAAAATTCTTAAGCACTCTGTTCTCAGATAATTTTAATTTAAATTGTAATCACTTCAAAAATTGTAAATAAAATATTTTGTCCACCCACCACTAACGTCTGGTTGCACTACTGTACACTGTTACAAACATTAAGATTTCTTTTGCTACAGAAACCCAAGAGTTCCATGTCGAAGTGGGGTAATTCCAGGTATAGACCTCACTAAGTGGGCAGATTTTGGTGTACAGGCGACTGTTCCTGGAGCAACACCGTTTGTGAGTAATTTAGCTTCCGTCTTCGACCACATTGGCAAGAAGTAGATCACGCACACAACAGTGGACATGGCTCCTCTTCACAATGTACATTTCTACACTCAAGATGGTGTAATGGTGCAGAGTGCTTTTGTGTGTAACATTTGGTATTGGGTAACAGGATGTGTATGTGTATATAGCACAGTGCAGCAAGTTGTTTTTACAAGCGAAACAAAACTTAAAAGTGTATATACTAGTAATTACTTACAAAGACACCAAGAAGATTAAAACCCTCCTGTTTTGCAGTATAGCAGCAGACCCTCCTCTGACTTCCTGGTTAAAATATTAAGTGTTGAATCTCCAGTATTTCTTTGCAATACACAGTTTTATTTTCAACTTCACTCACTAGTTTCATAGAAGTATGCACCCTTCCATTCTTCACTACAGTTTAATTGGTGGTTAATTTGTCTCCAGTGTGGATGGCTGAGATTTGATTCCCAGTGAGGTGATTTGGAATTATTGTAACTGTCCGTTTTTTAAAATAATTCATCAGCTCTAAGTGTTTCTTCAAAAGTTGCGTTGTTCTTACTGCCAATATATTTTGTCATATGCTCCCATCAAATTTTACGTTTTTCTTGAAAAACTGAACCCATCCTGTAGATGTCTAGAAACGGAATTATTTCCTTTCAGTTCCTTGCATTGAGAAATAAACCTCTCTCTCTCTCTCTCTCATTCTTGAATGTGAATACGGGAAGAAACAAAATAAATGCGTGTTCTCCAAAACCATTACAGACATGTTGATTACAAAAAGTCATCTAACCAGGAATCAAACCCGAGCTGCCCACAACGTAGTTAAACACACCATAAAATAACGTGAAAAAAGTAGAAAATAAAGTCTTGTATTATACAGAAACAATTGAGTGACAACACCTGATATTTTGGTCAGGAAATTACAAGAGTCCACTGCCATACTACAAAATTAGAGACAAATCAGATGGTTTCAATCGAAGGCATTCCCTTGGTATCACATGTAAACATACACTGTGTCAGGTCAAGTCAAATAACAGTGAATCCTCTGGAAACTTTCTTAAATACAAAGATAAATTAAAGTATATCAAATTATAAATTGTTAAATACCAACCATTCTAAATAATTACAAACTTCTGGAGTAGCCTAAATCCAAACATGACACAGCAAAGGCTGTTACTCAGCTTTAGTATGACTAAAAACCCAATATCTTTATGTCACAAACAACACAGAATGAGAAAGAAAGTATCCATTAATTTAAACTTGTATTCAAAAACCATGATATATACCGTATGTCAGTTGTCGCTTTGTGTATATAAGTATGTATGAATAGACTCTCACCTGATCAATTAATTTGATTATTTGACTATAAAACAGCGATTAATCTAAATAGCACAAATCTATTTTTGCACCATTATAATTTAAACAGTACGTTGAAAAACATCTAACCAGATATGACTTCCAGTATATTCCTGTATTAAGTAAAGGAGTGGAACATCCCCCCCCCCGTAGCACCTCCCTTCATTTCCTTGCTTGTAAATACACATAACTGCATCATGCCATGCCTGCATTAGACCCATATACGTTTTGCATTAATCTCTTCCAGACACAGAACTTCTGTTTTCAACTAAACAAATTTCCCAAACTACTTTTGAAGCCTTTAATCACGTTTCCTACAAAGTAAAGTAAAGTTTGTCCCACTACGTGCCATACAGGCGTTTGGGGTGAGTGGAGGTATAGCTCCTCTCTTCCTTGACCTCGGCACTAGATGGGGGTGAGTGGTCAGCATCACGCCCCGGCCGACTTTACCCCCGGGAAAGGACCCCGGTACCCATTGTAGAGGAAGCTGGGTGGGCCCCAGAGCCGGTCTGGACGCAGAGGCTAGAGGAAAAATCCTCTCCCCCCGTCGGGGATCGAACCCCGGTCGTCCAGCCACTATACTGACTGAGCTATCCCGGCTCATTCACATTTCCTACAGTCAGCTAGTAATACTACATACAAACTGACGGAGTATACGCATAAAACTGTCCTGTCTTACCTATTTACTTTTCTCAACAGATTTTATTCTCAATAATTACCACTAGTATGGTTAAAAAAAAACTAATAATTGGGTTTTGGGGATCATATTTCAAAATATTTCTCATTCTTTCAATTAACTGAAGTTCAGGTTGTTTAATATTGATATAAAGTTCAGGATCTGGAATCCTTCCGCTATAAAGACTAAGCAGCTCTGCCACACGGAACAGTATGTTATATACTAAAGGTGCAAATGTTTTGTACAGTGCTGTAATATAATCTTTCAATAATCCTACACAAGAAAATAAAAATAAATTCATTTCCTTTATACACATTTAATTTTAATAGCTAAAAAAAGTATTTATATTTTTAAATGCAAAATATTTCGTTAATACCACAACCTCGTAAATACTGACTGATGACGAACAAATGATGTATTTCATACTTCCCAAACACTGTAAGTGTTACTTGAAATTCTTCAATGCTTCATCTCTTTTCAACCTGCTTGTAACTATCACTTCTTAACTTTTTGCACTCACAATTCACATGGTGGGTAGAAGTTAATTTATTATACTTATGTGTTACATATACCATTTATAAAGATGCCATGATTCTCAAATACAATGAAAATTCTTGTAAATAAAGCTCAAATTGATCACGTGCATCTTTGAGAGCACTCACATCTGCCATACTATATATCTACAAACGATTACAATCATACCTCCACTTCTATTGCCAATCAACAACAAAATTGCTCATCGCAAAATATATACTACAATAAGAGGACCTGCTGGTTTAACTTGTAATGATTATTTCATAAAATTATAATAATACCTTACTTATAAGTATTGACATTTTGACCTATTTTAAAGATCAGTGGGAGAAATGTGCCCTGCCACCTCTTCAGCAGTAAATTCTTAAGAATCTACAACTTTTTAACAACAAAAAATATGTTACAATGGAAAAATAAAACAATTTCTTTAAACACAAACCAGCACAAAAGGGGTTAAAAGGAACCTAAAATTATACGTCCACATAATATAATTGTAAAGATATGGTCCCATCTGCATACTATTCATTACATTCAAAAATACCCTAAAAAATTTCAATAGAATAATTTTCCATTTCACACACTAAAGAGATATTTTTTTTATGTCCTTAATCAATTAAGAACTTTACTGTTCCCCATAACGTATCACGCAAGTATTTGTAGAGGATATGTTCAACTAGTGTCCACAATTCAAACCATTATTCCTAAGACAAAATATATTACAAGCCATCGTGACGAGCACTACAGATTATTTTTATGTTAAAATCTAAGAGAATACATGCAACATAAAGCCCTATTCACTAGGTACAATTCCATAGCTTCCAGTTAGTTATATGGTGGTTTGGTGTCATTAATATTGTACCATGTGAATCAGGCTTTGTGAGATGTAAATTGTTGTAAAACTGTAGATGTAGAGAAATTAAAGTTATTTGTACAAACATAGTTGAGTATAATATTTATTATAAGACAAGTGTATATAAGCCTACAAAATTAAACAGATGACCTAAATATAAGATCTCATATATTCGTATTTTAATGATAATCAATAAGTGGGCCTAGTAAATACACTAATCATTCCACTTTGCCTGCACTCTGCTTGAAGTGTCGATTTTCCTACTACCCTCCTTCCACTCCCATTTCCTGAACACCATTTATTATAAGACTGCAGAATAATTAAAACAAAACAAATGGCAAATCTTTAAAATAGAGTGACCAGTTATTTATGCCAGTTTTGCTGACATGATAGTCTGAGATAATTACATTATTTTTAGACAAATATCTACAGTTATATTGATGAAATTAAATACGTCAAATATTTTTATGCTGAATGGGTCAAACATTTTGCAAATTTTAAGCCCTTTTCATTTATCCATTAACATAATTCCAATTTTTGCTGTAATTCTCAAGCACATTTATAAGAATAGTTGAAGCATCCCCAGTGTGGTGGAGAAAGCATTTTTATTGGGTGGGGGGAAGCTTGCAAGTGAACAGAATTACATATGAAAACCATAAACCAATTAAATCTTGTGTTTATGGCATAGGTATTTACGTATTTTGCATATTTAATACAACTTACATAAAACTATTTGTCGTTAAGAATGTTTTCTCTCCCACCAAACTTCTGCTTTTTTTCCAGAAACAATCTGAAAACATTGTTCAAGCTTATCCCACACTGCAGCAACCTGAACAACACAAGCGACTATCGCAGCAAACATTTAACATAAATACTGCAGACCAGAACTGCAACTTTCATCCTGCATCTCCTCCAAATCCAGATGTTGTTCAAAGTATTGAGGTCCACAGTTATGAAGAACAAGTGATAGCAGCACCAAGTCAGAAAACAGTGGAAGATAACAGTGTGGATGAAACAGTCATCATAACTAATGTCAAAGACAAAACTTTAAACACAAACAATGATGATGAAGGTAAAACACTGAAATGGGAAGTTTCCAATGAAGAAGAAACAGACATCAATAAACCACAAGATGAACAAAAGCAAAGAAAGACATCTGACAGTCACGCTCATGAATCAAGCAGCTTATCAAATGACTACGTGACCAAAATAATTCCCAGTTTCTCATTATTAGAAACAATGCGTGTGCCTCGCAGTGTTGATAATCACAAGAAATTAACTGAAGATAACTCTAAACAAATTCAGTCTGGTAGCAATGCTGAAAATATTGAGTTCCTTCAGTTGGATGACAGCCACGAAGGAATCCATACAACACTGAATCCAAAGAATCAAGAAGAAGAATCCATAAATCATGAAAAAACAGTGACACAGTCAATACCCACGGGCAGTGAAAGCACAGAAACATATCGAGTGCATCAGATGATAAATGAGGAACCAAGTCAAGAAAGTGAGGTTAGGAGGAAGGTTTCCACTTCCAGAAATGTCAGATATGACCATAACAGAACAAAACCCCAGCATAAAGCTAGTAAACAAACAGATCCCATCAGACGTGACAGGAAACTGGGAGAAAATACAATGTCTATGACATACAAAGCACCACATAATATATCTAAGGACAGTGGTAATGGGCTTTCAGAAGATGTGATAAAAAACCTTAAACTTACTTCAGCATTTGTTCAAGATAGGCAAAATTACAGTGATCTAGAAGTGAGAGATGGTCATGTGAGAAGTAGAGCTATAATGAGTACTGATCCCAGTCACAAACAAGGTCAAGACACCTCAAGGCATGGTCCTAGAAGAAAAAATGATAGTCATGGTACAAGAGCCAATCATCTTTTACTACAGAATAGCAGTAATCAAGAAGAATCCATTCAAGATAATAAACAAAGTGACCTGGCATCTAAAATAAATGCAAGTCACACACTAGGGAAACAAACTGAAAACAAAAGAGCATTACAGAACAGTGATTATGTTGATGAAACTCACAGACTAGGCCACAGACTGAATGACAATGATGAAATAGAACAAATTAAACCTCTAATTGTATCTAATGAAGAGAGAGGAATTCCCCCCAGTTCTATTCCCCACTCAGACACATCCAGTTCCTCTCCAAGAAGTGACCAATCACTCAGATACAGTATTACTGGAACCCCAGAAAGTACAGAATTGCATGATGAAGCAGAAACAGAAGGTGAGGAGAAGAATAAAGATGAAGAACAAGAGACCGATTATGAGGAATCAGTCTTAAGCAGCGAACAAAATGAGAATGAAAAAAAATCACATGAAACGTTGCAAACAAAGCCTGCAACACTAGATCATAACTCACAAAATATGGAACAACCTAAATACAATACAGAACACAAAGACAATATAGAAACTAAAAATGAAGAAGAAGATGGTGGTATATATGAAACAATCAGCAAAATTTTACAAAAAAAAGATGCAATATCTCGTTCAGAAGCGATAGTTGGAAAAAAAGATGGTAAAAGTAAAAATGAGAAGGAAGCAGAGAGTTATCGTAATTTCTGGGTACTTGAATATTCTCGTCCAAAATTCAGTAAATAGATACTTAAAAAATGTAGTAAGTGATGCAACATTAAATATGAGAATAGCAGTTTATTCAGGATATGTCAACCCCTATTACAGCTGGTTTTACACAAATATCCACATGGCATGGAAGGTTATAAGTTTGAACACATGTTACTGTACACTAAAGTACAAGGTCAGCATATTCTAACCAATCACACAACTGCAAACATGAGTGGATGTTTGTTAAATGGTTGTGATATGGCCTTTAGAAGAATTAAATTACACTACAAGCAGTAAGAATAACATCTGTGGAAATATTTTTTTGAGTTTTATAAGTAGTAGTAG